AGTTGTTTTTAGGGCATCTCCAACGGAGAACTCCAAAATTTACGGAAAAATAACGCAGAACTCCAAAAAGGCGTGGTGCTGCTCCAATCGAACGCCATTTTAGGTGTTTTTCGGAAGTTAACGATCTTCTCCCTTTCGCGCGTTTTACCGATTGAGAGAGTAAAATGGCGTGGGTGAACAGTGTGACGCCAATATTGGCGTCGCACTGTTCACCTGCAAGTGAATGACGGAAATTTTGCGTTCGGCTGGAGCGACAGACGGACGACATACGCTCGTTTGGCGTTCGGGTGGAGATACCCTTAAGGCGGAATACGTAAATAGATCAATTGTTACAAGAAAATTTATTATTTATTACAGTCTCGTTATCGGTTCAATTTTTGGAATATGGAAAGAATTTATATGATTACCATTTAAAATTAATACTGCAAATATATGGAAAGAATTTATATTATTACATTTAATTTAGAATAGTTAGTTTGTTATTATAAATTTCTAAAAAAATTGACATTTAATCAATTTTCTTTTATCTTAATATATAAGGGTATAAATGTAATTTTTCTCATACAATTGCAGTATAGCAACTTCACTGTTATAATTCTCAAACAAATTATATTGCTTTATGTACAACAATTTCAGAACTCAGCTTTATGTACAACAACTTCACAACCTACTTTACCGACAGCTGCAATCGTCCCAAACAAACCCTGAGTCTTGGTTTCTTTCTAGGCTTTTTAGCTCACTATGTGAATTTTTATGATTTCATGTTAAGGAAGAGGTCAGAACTAGATGAAGTGAGAATGTAAGAGATTTCTTAGGTTTTCTTTTGATTTTGTTTATATTTTATTTTAAATTTTTTTAGTTAGGAGTTTATGATATATTAGTGATTGTACTAGTCTTTTAACTATTTATATAGATTTCGGGAGAAATGAATATAGTACAATATTTTGATATATGCAATTATTAATTATTTTTATTGGATATACAAATTTATTATTTAGAAGATATGGTTGATTTTTTGGACAAATAAAAAATATAAAATGCATAATTTTTTTTTTCAACTTTGATTATGAGGCATCACACGCTCCCTATCTCAAGGCCCCCACCCATACTTATCCAGCGTTCGCTTAGGCCTATGCTCGACCCCACATACCAGCAACCCCACTGGCACTGCTCCCCCACCGTACCTCGCACACTGACACACCCACGTCTGCTATGTTCAGGGTTTGTGGGTCGGGTATGGTTAACCAGGTAACTGACACGGGTCAGGTTCGGTTTGGAATTTCTAACCCGTTTGAAAAATCGGGTTGGGTTAGGGTCAACCTGTTTAGACCCGGGTCAATTCAGATTAGACCCAAACTCGACCCGTTGACCCATTTTGACACCCCTATTTGACACAACTCACCTTCTTCCAAAGCTCATATCACAAAGCCTTCACCAAACTTCACTTGTAATCACTTAAGACTTTGATCGATGATTGATGAAGAAAAAACAAAAATTTTCCTTCATAAAATCCACTGTACAAATCAAGAATGCCCTCAACATCGCTTTCAATTAGAGAAATATCATTGAGAAAGAAGAAAAAAAAAAGAGGTGGAAGTTAGGAATCAACCATTTATATTAAATTCATTCTAAAAACTATAAGAGATGAAGCATTATATGATCTATTTATAATGTTGAAATCACTAGATGTGGATATATATATATCTATATATAAAACTGTCATGTCAACAAATAAGCAAAAATATTTTTTCACCACTAGGTACATCCTCACATAAATAAAGGAAAGATTATTTTGTGCGAATGTCGAACGCCGTTCGGAGACCAACCAGAATGCGCCACATCACCCCTTCCCTCGGTACTGTTTGGTACCGTTGCTCGATACCGCTGACGTGATTGCACCCGATTCACTTCCAAACAAAGAGCTGCGTCCAGTACTAGGTACATCCTCACATAAATAAAGGAAAGATTATTTTGTGCGAACGTCGAACATTGTTCGGAGACCAACTAGAGTGCGCCACATCACCCCTTCCCTCGGTACCGTGCTCGGTACTGTTTGGTACCGTTGCTTGATACCGCTGACGTGATTGCACCCGATTCGCTTCCAAACGTAGAGTTGCGTCCAGTCTCCGCACAGAACAATTTCTTCACATAAAGATATCGTTGATATGATTTCCAAATCCTTCATGCCTCTCCATATCAAGGCGCCAAAAGTAGTCTTTATGAATTTCCTAAGAGTAAAAGCTAAGCATTCTTTTAGCTTCCAAGTTTGGAGGTTAGTTTCTTAGTCATATATAGTTTTTTTTTTTGTCTAAAAACTTCACGAATGTAAATTCAAGAAGCAACATATTTAACCATTGGGGGATACAGGTTGCTGCTCGAGAAGAAAGGGGAAGAATTCTTGGATTTAGCCTTTTTTAAGAGGAATATGAATGTTATTCGAGAACTTCTTCTTAATATAAAATGAACAAATAGACACGTTAAAGCTCAACATAGAGAGGTATTCTTCTTACGCATTATTTTCTTATCCTTTTTTTAATTCTTTTTTTCAATGGTACAATATTGTACATTAATATATCTCAAGAGCTTTATTCAAGCTAAGCCCATCTAGTTCAAGCCATCTCAGCAGAATAAGAATAATGGAGATTTTGAACTCATCTAGATCTCCATGAACTCGCTAGGATCGTTGTGGACTCCATAAAGAGTGCTTAGTCTAACCTTAAGATGTCCTCGCCAGCTCCACGAGCTTAAATAGATGATGACTTTACCGAGCAAGTCACAGCTTCACGAGGCAGGTCGATGAATTTTTACAATAAAATGACAGACTCGTTGTCTCGATTGATGATTATAAAAATTCTGTATGTGACTTCACCCAATAACTATTCACATCGATTGATTGGGCACGAATGTCGAGGGAAAATCAAGTTGAAAATTAAAAAAATTAAATCGGAGACCATTTGAACTCTGATTTTAGCAAAGTTATAATCGAACTGAACGTATCGAAAATACGGAACCCAACGACACCAAATTCAACTCAATCCGAGCCCAAATGAGTCTAAATCAAAGTCATTAACCACATTTGGAACGTTCAAATCATAATTTGGATTATCAAACGGTTTTCAAATGTGACATGCATGCTTATAGTTGAATCAAGCGGCTTGACGAGAAAATTCCAACGAGCTCATAATCACAAAATTTTGATATCATTAAGACCTTCAAATGCCTAATAAATAGTCCACGGTCAAAGGAATCAACATCGACTATCCATTCATACCATTCCCAATTTACCATTGATCTTCCTCCTAATTACATGTCATGTCACTCTAAGAAAACTATAAATAGACCAATCATTCCTCATGGAAAGGGGTCCCCGAAGCAATGAGCGAAAGAATAGAGTAGAGGAAGAGAAATCAAATGCCACCAAGCTCCTCCTCGACCACCTCCCGGCCACCGACTGACGTCGGACTTCCGCCCAATGCTAGATTTATACCAGGTGTCGGACTTCCGCACGTCGTCAGACTTTCGCCCGTCGTCGGACTTTTGCCAATCGCCAGACTTTTGTCAGACTTCTACCTGACGTAGGTCTTCCACTCATCTCCAGATTTCTACCTAATGTCGGACTTCTTCCCGTCACTAAACTTTCGTTAGACTCCTACCTAACGCCAAACTTCTACCCGACGTTGGACTTATGCCTATCGTCAAATTTCTACTTGATGCCAGACTTTTGCGGGTCGCAAGATTTCTACATGAAGCTAGACTTCCGCCTATCACCGGACTTCTGCTCATCGACGTACTTTTGTTGGACTTCTACTTGACATTGGATTGGACTTCCATCCCTCGTTGGATGTTTGCCGGACTTCTACCCGTTGCCGGACTTTCGCTCGTCGTCGTATTTCTACCCGATGTTGGACTTACACCCATGACCAGACTTATGTCCGACATCGGACCTTTGTCGTACTTCTACCCGACGCCAAACTTCTGCTCGTCGGTGGACTTTCGTTAGACTTCTACCCGACACCGAACTTCCCTCGTCATCGGATTTCTACACAACGCAGGACTTTCGCTCATTGCCAGATTTCTACCTGACACTGGACTTCCGTCGGTCACCGGACTTCTGCTAATGTCCGGACTTTCGACTAACTTTTACCCGGCATTAGACTTCCACCCGACTACTGTCCTTTCGACCACTGTCACCCAACTACGACCTTTTTTACCTATGTCGTCCACTAACTATGATCCTTCCAACTAAACGAATATGTCAATAGTGATTTTTCATATTCCCACAATTTAATGCACTCCATATGATATATATTTGTTACATCAAGCATAGGCCTTCCCTCTAATAAAGGGCCTCATATGTAATCAACTCAAAATACTAGTGGATTCATTGAAATTGGGTTAGGCCCCGTGATTTTTTTCCTTTTTCAAAATTTTCCACATAAAAATCTTGGTGTCTCTTATGAATGTTAAACCATCTATTTAATTTGATTGCGTACTGGATCTTCGTATAAAACTAAGATGTTAAACTATATATTTCTCTATCGCCACGAATATTCCAGGATGCAACATTTATATATTGACAAGTGACAACTAAAGAGCAATAAAAGAAGGAAGCCTCAATGAAATATATTTATAATATTTGAATAATTAAATGAAGATGAGATGACAATGACAACAATATTGATAAGTTTTGCAGTGGATATCCAGTCATAAATTCCCTTCATCGATCCCTTCCGGCAAAAAAAAAAAGCCCAATGAAAAACGCGGAGCGAACCTATCCACAAATGACAACGCAACATGACGTGGCAGACCCCACACTGGATCTCATTCCGGGCCCACTAGACTTCAACCCAAAATCTCAGCCACTTGCTGGCCAAGGCCCAGCTGGCCCGTCCCAACAGATATGAAAACCAACTGGCGAAGGGCATATCCCGCTTCCGATTCCCAGCATCTCCCTTCGGCATCCGACGGCTCTGATCTCTGCTCCCTCCCCTATAAATAATACTCTGTTCTCAACCTCCACGCCTTCGCTGTAGTCTGTAATGGAGCTTCATCTAGAAACGCCGCTCGAAGCCCTCGTGTTCCGTTACTCCACCACCATAGCAGGATACATATGGACCTGTCTCGCCCTCTTCGCCGCCGGGATCGGTCTATGGCGCTTCCGATTACTCGGGTCAGCATCTAGGTCAGCACCTGTTCCCGTCTCTACATCTCCTTCCGCCGTTTCTCAGGCGATTCCGTCCCCCCCGTCGACATCAGTTCCGATTGCATCGAAAGTGCTTGTGTCGGGTTGTGGTGAGAAGGAGGCGAGTGGATCGCCGACGAAGGGGAGGTTCACCACTTATTTTATAGTGGAGGAGGAGATTGATGGCGACGATAAGGGCGAGGAGTTTGAGTGGGAAAGTTACGACGGTCGTGGCGATGGGGAGTGTTTGGATCTGTTGGATTGGGCATGGAGGGGAGATCTTGGGTGGTATGGTTACCAGGATTGGAAGGCGATTAACGGCAGCGTAGTCAGACTGTGGGATGGCGACCGAAGAGGATCAGCTCGGCGCCAGCGGTGAAGAGGAAGTAGATCTAAGGTGGTATCGGAATTTGTTTGGTGAAGAAATTGTTTGTACATTTTATGTTATTATGGTTGGTTCGGCCCGGCGGCGGCCGGCGACCTGCAATTCCCTCGCCGGATGTTTTCCTGATGGTGTTCCTCTTTTTCTTCTGGTTAATGAAATCACATTCTTGCCCTTAGGTGCTCTTTTCCCTCCTCTTTGGTACAATTTTGCATTCCATCGGATTTTTTTTTTAAATGATCAAACTGTTTTCGTTTTAAGAGAACAATAATTATAATATTTGTTTATTAGTTGCAAGGAAGTTAATTAGAATAACAACCACCACCGGTCTCGTAAGGAAGCTAATTGGCCATATTAATTGTAATAAGAACAAAGCCATTACAAAATAAAATTATAGTGCACATCAAATTAAATATTCAAAAGTTCAAAATTTTAACTTTTATGTTCGCACCAGGGTGTAGGTGAGCTAGGCCGGCTTGTCTGCCAATTTGAATTCAACTTGCTAATGAGTTTGTGAATGAAGCTTGTTAAGCCACAAGCTCAAGCTCAAACCAATCTTATTACTCATATGTTGAACAAGCCCAAACTTAATGTGACTTGACTTGATTACTCGTCGAACAACTCTACTTAAAGAATTTACACATATCCCTCAAATTTTCGAATCCCAACCTCGCGAAGGAACTAAACTAGCTGTCTAATAATCCAAATCTGAATCACGTGCAAGAGATTGAACACTTCTCTCATTTCATGACCTAGAGATTAAAAATGTGAAGCCTTGAATTAAAATAACTAAAATTTATGATTTTCTTTTTTGAAAAATATCACATCTCTAATGTCTGCCTTCCACAATGGCTCGAGCTGATTCCTCACTTCTCTAGAGAAGTTAACAGATGGCGTGATAGCTTTTGGAGATAGGGCTTCATTTTCACATTCTACGGGCTTCTTCAATGCATCTATATTGGGCATCTTTGATGACATCTATGAGCTTCAAACTTATTAAGAAGCAGCGTCCATCAAGCTAGAACAAGTCAGTGACCATCTAGCACGCAATGACACAAAGATGTATAAAGGATTTGACTAGTGATTTCATATGTAATTTTATGGAGTATTTATTTAAATTTTTTATGCAATATAGTTCGTAATATTTTCATTTATTCTTTCTAGAATGGCTCCTTATTGAGTGATTTAGTTTATAAATATGAAAAAAAAACTCATCAAAAGTGTTGAAGGCAGATGTAACTTAAGGCCTTTTACTATATGTGTGTTCAAATTAAATTATATTTCATATCAAATTAAAACTGCAGTTAATTTTACCAGAAAGGAGTTCCTAAATGAAATCTCTCCAAGAAATTTAGTCATATGAAAACTAAAGAAGCAAATAATATTTCAAGTTTCTGACTCAAAAAGACATATAGAACTCATATTATGCCAATTATGTAGGAATGGACAATTCATCAATGATCAGATCATATGCCATATGTTTCATCCATATATATTAATAACTTAGTAAAAGACATATATATTGAGATGAACATAAATTTGATGAGCTTGGGCTCGTTGCATTCGTCTCGTCGAGCCGTTCGATTCGACTATAAACATGTCACGTTTGGAAACCTTTTGGTAATCCAAATTATTGTTTGAACCTTCCAAATGCGCTTCGAGTCCTCAATTTGGATCTATTTGAGCTCGGATTGAGTTGAATTTGATGTCGTTGGGTTCGTATTTTTGAGACGCTCAGTTCGACTATAAGTTTACCAAAATCTGAGTTTATATGATCTCCGATTTAAATTTTTGAAGTTTCTAACTTGATTTTTGCTTTGAGATTCACGCCCAATCAATATATATCATATATTATGATATATTAAATCAGAAGCCAAAATGCAAGGCATAATGGCAAAGAGAATCTCAGATTAGATGAATAATAATTTATAAAGTCCATTTGAATGAAAACCAAGGACAGTTATTGCCATCATAAGGTTAAACATAGACGGGCACATTAATGCTCATATTATGTAAATATAAACCATTTCCCGGGTTCCGCTCCGGGTCAAGTCGTCGGGCTGCGCGGTAAAGAGTAAGAGCACGTGGCGACATGTTATTGGCGGCCGAACGTACCTCTACGTCAGGTCAGAGGACGTAATAATTGTTCCTTTTGGAGACGGGGCTTCGCTTTCACATTCTTAGGGCTTCTTCAATGCATCTATATTGGGCATCTTTGATGACATCTATGAGCTTCAAACTTATTAAGAAGCAACGTCCATTAAGCTAGAACAAGTCAGTGACCATCTAGCACGCAATGACACAAAGAGGTATAAAGGATTTGACTAGTGATTTCATATGCAATTTTATGGAGTATTTATTTAAATTTTTATGCAATATAGTTCATAATATTTTCATTTATTCTTTCTAGAATGGCTCCTTATTGAGTGATTTAGTTTATAAATATGAAAAAAAAAAACTCATCAAGTGTTGAAGGCTGATGTAACTTAAGGCCTTTTCCTATATGTGTAATCAATTAAAGTAGATTTCAAGAGCAGAGAGAAGAGACAATTTCAAGCTTTATGTATTATTGACCAACAAGAAACAACAATATATAAAATGAACTTTTACAAAGAGGACATTTTTATGTAAGCCTGGTTTCTTCATTATTCCAATACATTGTATAAGTATATATATTATGTAAAAGCTGGTGTACTCAGTTTTGTTCAGATAAAGTAATTTGACTTTGCACATGGATGTAGTTAATTTTATTTTATGTTATAAGCTAATGGTGTTGATGAGTGTGGTTGCTCCATCATTTCTGTGGTTGTGGAGATTGCTATTATTGAGATGGTTAAGAGCGTAGTTGCTCCATGGTTTATGTGGTTGTGGATGTCATTGTTAGTCCCATGCAAACTAAGGGGTCTTGTTAAATTGTTAATTTGAGACGAATGGATTGAAACTTGTGAGTTGTGAGAGCTTTGGTGAAAATGTTGGTCGGTTGATCTTGAGAGCTGATTGGTATGACCCGAATATCTTTGGAGTGGATGTGGCCACGAATGAAATGGTGATCAATCTTTAAAACCATCATTCTACCCAACATAATTGAAAATAGAAATGGGGTATCAGTTGCCTATTTCGAGACTGACAATTCTCTTATAGCATAAAAAAATTTTAATTTTGGACCTCAAATCTCCTCCTTTCCCTTCTCTTTCCTTCCTCCTCTCATTTCTTTTTTGACAAGATGCAGGGGTGAGGGCTGGGCAATAGTGTCTTTAGATATTTATTATTTTAAAAAGTCCTAATTTGTCCTAACGTCGGGGCGCTAAAGCCTCTAACTCTATAGCGCTCTTAGAAAAATTCTTACTCTTCCAAAATCTCACAAACTACCATATGATCCATTTTCAACACTAAACTGGCATTATCTAGCCAAAACACTCCTCCAAAATCTTAGTTTTTTCCATTTTCTCGAGAGTAGAGCATCAAAGTACCAATTCCATAACCGCAACACTCATAGAGAATCATATTTCCTCAGCCTAAAACTTTAAGCATTCTAAGTTCTAAATGACTTAATAGCGCTTCTTATTACTAAAGCAATTAAATTTTTTTACACTTTTAAGCACATAATTACCTGGCTTCCATACAACATACATTACAAAGTTTTCATGTGCCCTATTATTGCAAAGCAATAAATTCATTTGCCATAGCTTTGTGCCAATGAGGGTACTTGACAACTTCAGAGAAGGAGGTTAGGTCAGCTTGCTGGGTGTTATAATGGAAAAGGTTTAGGAAGTTGATGTGGCTTGAGATAACCAGTTTTAAGCTGAGTTATCATGGGATGACACGAGGGAAGAGGAGGTATTGGTGGAGAAGAGAGCTAGTTGAGTCGAGCATTGTTGAAGAGAGGTTAGTGGAGGTAGATGTAGGTGGTTTGAGTAGAGGAGAGGTGAGGCAGAGGGTTGGCGATTAGGGAACAGAGTTCATGTGGGTGGTAGGTTGTAACGATCTAGGGAAGTAGGTGAGGGTTGAAATGCAGGAGTTAATAAATGGGGATTAGAATGTGAGTAAGGTGTGGGATGGGTGTATGGGAAGCTCCACTCATCCAATGTTACATGTCGAAAAATTATAATTTTTATGGTGAGGGGTTTAGGTAATTATATCCCTTGTAGTTATCTGAGTAACCAATAAAGATTCACATTTGTGACCATAGTTCAAGTTTATTGCATATGCAAGGAGGAGACCAAGTGAAGTAAGCGTAGTCAAATGTTTGCGATTGAGAGTATTGAGGTAGATTGTTATATAGGAGCTAAAAGGGTGATTTATTTTTGGATTTGGGAGAGGGTATATAGTTGATGGTGTATGCAGTGATTGAAAGAGCTTCCATCGAGTAAGAGTAAGGAATGGAAGCAACATGAAGTAGTATTCTAGTGGTCTTAATGAGATGGTGGTGTTTGCACTCGATAAGATCATTTTTTGGGGTGTATGGGTAGCTAATTTGATGTTTAATCCCATTTATTTGAAGGTGGTTTGCAAGTGTGTGAGGTATTATGTACCTCTATCAGTGCTGAGACATTTTATTTGAAATGACAATTATTTTTTGATAAATATTTTGAATTTCATGAATAAAGAGTCTGCTTTAGTTTTTGAGTACATAAGAAAAATTCATACAAATATCAAGCAATCATATACAAAAAAAAAAATCAAGCAATCATCTACAAAAACAGATAATATTTACAATGAAAGTAACCAGAAGGGTCCCCATACATCAGATTGAATTAGTTCTAAATATTTATTGTGATGATTAGTAGACTTAGTGAATAGCAATCTACGACCTTTCAAGGCAATACATGAATTGACAAATGAAGAGAAAGCATGAATAAAGAGATTTTTTTTTTTGCTTGGAGATTGTTGCAGTTGTGTGCGGATGAGGATGACCAAGTCGATAATGACAGTGCTGCAACCAAGGCAGATGGAGAAGGTAGCGTTGGTGAAAGTCAAAGGGGATAGAGACTGTTACGATAAGGTCCTTGGAGGAAGGTGCAGTTGGTCGTCATGTCCTTGAGTTGGTGGCCTTGAGCGTTAAAGTAAATAGAAATGCTAATGTCGACAGTGATATTGGAAATTAAAAGTTGATTACGAGAGAGAGACAAAAAGTAAATTATAGAAGGAAGTCCTAGGTTACAAGTTGGTGTGGGGAGG